CCTACATCTACATGGGAGACCTGGAAGAGGCTCCTGGCTTTGGACTGGCTCAGCTCTAGCTGATGCAGCCTCTTGGGGAGTGAACCATTGGATGGAAGATCTTCCTCTCTGTCTCTCCTCTTCTCTGTATATCTGACTTTCCAATAAAAAAAAAATAAATCTTAAAAAAAGGCTGTGTATTCTTAAAGTGCATCATCTTGGAAATGTGGATAATGGTTGTAATGTCAAATAATAGAATATTTCTCCATAAAATATCTTGTCATTCTCTGTTGATCTGATCATGATAAAAACATGGCCAAGAGAATTATTTAACCCATTCTACTTTCCATCCTCTGATAAGGTAGTTGCATCACCTGCTGGCCTGGATAAGCTGGCTGTCATGTCCCTCAAGCACATGTGGATATGCTGCCATACGCACAGTCGTCAACAACTGGGGAGGCCTAGTCTGATGCATGCAGTCCAAAGTAAGACCTCATATCCCTTGATTTCTCCCTATGGCTGGGGTCTGAGTCCAGCTGCTTAGTAGGGGAGTCTCCCAAGAAGACTCACCTGGGGTGACCTCAGACTTGACTTCTGTGTGTACCAGCCAGTGGAGGGTCATGTTCAGTCTGTCACCTGCATAAGCCAGTGCATGTACCAGTACACACAGCCCCATATCTCATATGAACCAGCAGGTGCTGTGGCCCAGTCCAGCCAGTCTGCCCCAAGATCTGGGCTAGGTCACAGCACCTTCTAGTTGGCATAGGAGATGGGGCTGGAGGTGAGAGTAACCAGCTAGCTGTACACACCGGTATGTTATTTAGCCAGTGTGGGTGACAGACTGAACCTGACTCTATATTAACTGGCACACACAAGAGTCAAGTCTAAAGACTTTCCAGGCAAGGCTTCTTTTGGACTTCCCAGTCAAACCCCAACTTTAGGGAAAACTCCAAGATATGTGGTCCAACCTTGGAGCACATATATTGGAACTGGGCCTCCTTGGTTGCTGATGCCCATGCATGTCCTCCCAGACATACATGGGGGACACGAAAGCTAGTTATGTAGGCCAGCAGAGGACGTGAAGTGCCTTGTCAGAGGGTGAAGAGTAGAACAGGTTAGGCACCTGTGCTGGCTGAGCTTTGCAACCACTCTACTTAGGCACTAAGGTGGGCTCAGTCAGCCAGCAGACCTTGAAAATATTTTCTCAACCCTGGTGCAAAAACAAAACGAAACAAACAACTTCTCAGAACTGTAAAAACCACTCAAACAACACTATTGGGACATTCTTCCCCACTCTGGAGTCTCTAGAATCAAATGATCATTTTCCAATATGAGTGCCGAGGTAGTTTGACACCAAGGAGCTTGCCCCATCCCCTTCTCTGCCCCTTGTAGACAGAGGGTAAAAAAAAAAAATACCCTGAACCATTTATCTTACCCACTTTTCTCTATACTAAAAGTAAAAACCCTCCCCACCCTAATCAGAGGGCATACACTCCTCCAAACTACATAATCAATATTTTAAAACTAAAATTTTTTCAAAAAGGTTGGGGCCTTCAGGAGGTGGGTAGTATGGTTGTGTCTTCATGAATGGGTTAGCTGTAGAAAATTGTTAATGATATCTTCAGGGTGAAAACCAGTTTGGCCAGTTCTCTCTCTCTCTTCTTTAAATTTTTATTTATTTTTAGTTGAAAGTCAGATATATAGAGACAAGGGGAGACAGAGAGGAAGATCTTCTGTCTGTTGATTAACTCTGTAAGTGGCCACAATTGCTGGAGCTGAGCCTAACCGAAGCCAGGAGCCAGGAACTTTTTCCCATGCTGCCGCAGGGTCCCAAGGCTTGAGGCCATCTTTGATTGCTTTCCATTAGATGATGACCACCACCTGCCCGCTGGTGGAATAATATCAGCAAGTTGCCCAAGTTGTAATGCAAGCTCTATTGGAAAATCTGCTCCTGGGCCCGCTTTGCTTAGAGTAGAGGGAAGAGGGAGGAAGCAGAAAGGGCAGCTAAGATACGTGTTGGAGAGTTTTATTCCCCTCTGGACACAGGAGCTGGCAAAGCGGCTGTCTATGTCCTAATTAGGTAAGGAATGTCCGTTCAGCTGTGTCACCGGAGGGCTGGAATTCCGTCAGGCTGGTGACGTAACTGGCTCCTGTGGCCCCTCTCCTTCGGACAGAAGCCTGAGCGACATGCTGGGTCTGGAGTGGACACTGCCCCTTGCCTCCAGTACCCTGGGTAGCCATCACTTTCCCAGGCCACAAGCAGGAAGCTGGATAGGAAGTGGGGCCACCAGGAAAGGAATCTTCTAGAGCTCACCGAGATGAAAAAGTAAATAAAAATTATTATTATTTTATAAAGAGTTCTTACACAATTTAACAGTGAAATATAATATCGTACATTAAAAAATGGGTGAAGACACTTGAACAGACAGGCTTTTATTGAATGAAGACATCTAGAGTTAATATGCACGTGGAAGAGGCCTGAGTCATCAGGGAACTACAATGCTAAACCACAGTGACATACTCTTTCACACCCACTAAAATGGATACACTGAAAACAGAGAGATGTGGGGGAAACTGAAACCTAAATGGTGTGAATATAAAAAAGGCAGCAGCTTTGCAAAACCAACAGTTTTTCAAACCCCAGAATACAGCGTTATATGACTGAGCAGTTCCACGCCTACATACATGTCCCAAATGAGTCTCAGAAAGTTATGCTTATGGACACATAAATGTGTGCACGAATATCCAGCAGGATGGATCACACCAGGTGGAAGACAGAAACATTCTAAATGCCAATCAACGGGTGAGTGAACTCAACTGATGCACACATGCATATGTATATATATGATATTATTGTGGGTATTATTCAGCTGTGAGGTTCTGAGAAATGCTACTTGGAACTCAAGGACTGACCTTGACACATCACCCCAAACCACAGCTATCGTGACTTCATTTACACGAAGCTTCCATGCCAGGTAAATTCACAGAGCTTGGAAATGGACTTGTGGTTGCTTAGCGCTGGGAAGAGGGGGCAGGATGGGAGAAGTGTTAAGGAATGCAGAAAAATTGCAAATAGGTATCCCATTTTTTCCATGTTTTTGTTTATTGTTATTATCATATCTTTTTGTGCAAAGGACACTTAAGCTTCTTAGGAGTGATTTCAGTGAATAACACTACACTGTTAGCCACGGTCCTGGTGCGGGGTGCTGGCAGGCTCTTCTGCATCACGCAAACCCCAAACGTTGGGTAATGTGGCTAATTCCTCCCATAATCCTCTCTGCATCCCTTGGCGACTCCCATTACCTCCTCCACTTTGTGAATTCTTACTTTAGATTCCTCGAGTTGGATCATGCAGTAACTGTCCTCTGATGTCTGGCCCTGTACACTTTCACAATGTCCTTCACGCCATCTCGTTTGTTTTTCAGATTGTGAAAATGTTCTCGGCGGTGGCGATAGTTATGTGAGCATGGACAGAACAGGTTTTTCGTCTGCTGGCTCGCTCCCCAAATGGCCACAGTGCTTTGGTGTGGGCCAGACTGAAGCCAGGAGCTTCACTTAGCTCTCCCACATGGATGCAGGGGCCCCCAAACTTGGGCTAGCCTCCATTGCTTTTCCAGGAGCACTTCAGGGAATTGGGTTGGAAGCGGAGTAGCTGGGCCTGAAGCAGTAACTTAACCTGCTTACAACATTTATCTTAATCTATGTATGTATGCATGTATCTATCTTTTTTTTTTTTTAAACTAGGTACCAAGTGTGCAAAAGTTAGGTTCCTTATTCTGGGGGTCGTGCAAATATGTGGTGGGCTCCTGTAAGTGTGATTCTCCTTATGCATTGGGTCCCAGGTCCCTGGCTTGCCACCCTCCAATTCTGGCCCTAATTCCACTGAAATTCCACATTCTTCATTCTACATTCAGCTGAAATCTGCTGAAGACCAAGGCTTCTGGGAAAAGCTGGCTGTCTCTGGGAAATAATTGCTGATTGTCCTCCCCGCTGCCCACATCCAGGGCTCCCACTGGCTTGCTGAGGGAGGACGCAGCTGCCATAAGCTGGCACTCTGCATCTCCAACAACGTCACCAATTGTGTCTGCATCTGAGGCCCCGGATTGCAGGGAGAACAGCAATGAGAAGTGACTGGAAAAGTTCATGCAAAACAAAACAAACAAGAAACCAGAATTAGAAGCTAAGCACAAAACCACTGTTCGAAATCCACGTGTAGGTTTTTTTCATGATAGGCATTGTCCATGAACATGTCCCTTGCAGACAGAATCTTAAAATAATAATAATAATAATAATAATAATAATAATAATAATAAAGCTGGTATCCGAACTCCCCTTCCATGAACTTTCTGAAATCACCAGCCAGGCTGGCTCGGCACCTGTCACTTTCTGGGAATACAGTGGCTAGGCCAGTGGCCAGAGAGGCCATTGGAGATCGGCTTGGGCACAGTCCATTTGAGAGGTGGTACTGGAAGGGACACTGGCTTTTGTCCAAGCCTCCCATAAAGGGAAAAGTGGGAGACAGACCCACATTGGCCACCTGACTTTCGGGGCCTGGAATGACGAAAGCTAGGTGGAGTTCTCTGCTCCCAAACTCCTCATAGGCCAGCCCAAGGCTTCCTGCCGGCTTGCACCTGCTGCGCCACAACGCTCCGCCTTCCAGGCCGTGTAGGCGCCGCACTGGGTCCCTGCGTCCGCCGGCGTTGCCCCGGCCTCAGGTCGGGCGGGCACTGGGGATCTGAGACCCGGGCGAGCGGAACACTCAGTGCACGGCGGCGGACCCCGTGTCCGCCCGCTACCCGGGGTCTCCGGGGGCCGCCCTCTCGCGGTTCTGCCCGCCGCTTTCGCGGCCCAGAGTACGGGAAATCCCACACGGGGCTGGGGCTGGGCGTGGGCCGCGTGGAAACGAATTAGTGACAGGTGGGCGCGGGGCAGGGCTGAGGTGCGACAGGCTTTAAAACCGCGGGGAACTCGAGGAAGCAGCTGACAGAACAGAGCCGGTGCTGCGGAGGGTCATCTTGGCAGAACAGCTCTTAGTCGGCTCCAGCGGGATTACGCAGCATTGGTCTGGAGGCGGTCCCTCCGCTCCTTTCCTGAGTGCTTATATTAACGCTGGTGGCCAATTGGAGCACTACCGGCTCACCCACCAGTGCAAACTTCCAGGTCGTTAGACCAGCGGTGGGACCGGCGCTCAAGGACAGAACTGCGGTAAGAAGCAGAGCTGGGGAGGAGACGCCAGGTCCCTTGGGAGGGGTTATAGCAGATCTGTAGAGTAAAATGAAGGCGAGCCGCAATTGGCACAGGCTCAGAAGTGGGTGGCTTCGCAAGGCTTTCAGAAAGCTAAGAGAAGGGTGGCTGCAATAGGGGAGGGGGCCAGGTGGAGGGGACATTGTCTAAATAAAAGTAATAAAAGAAGCTTAGAAGCATGTCTATTATGTCGTGGTTGTTGATGATTTTAGATTAATTAATTGATTGGAAGGGCAGAGTTAGGAGGAGATAGAGAGATACACACTGTTCTTGGATCTGCTGCTTCATTTCCCAACTCTCCAGGAGCTCCTTCTGGACCTCACACATGGCTGACAGGGGCCAAAGCACTGGCACCATCTCTGCCCGCTTTCCCAGGACATTAGCAGGAAGCTGGATGCGGAGTGGGGGCAAAGTGGGATGATGGTGTTCAGGCAGTGGCTTAACCACTGCACTGGCACTGTGGCCTCTAAGCTTAGAGCTCAATTTAATGGCATAGGAGGTTGATTTAAGGGGATGGGGCAAAGGCTGCAGAGACAGCCATTCAGGAACGATGCTGCGTGGTTTGTGTGTGTGAGTGTGTGTGCAGCTCTTGCTGTTTGTTCAAGGACAGGGCACGTTTGGGTTTTAGTGAGAGTGAGGACCTGAATCCCAAGGACATGTGGGGCTGGGAGAGGGTCGCCCGAGGGTCCAGCTGTGAGCTAACAGAGCTGCACGTGGCACCCGACTGATCTACTCGCCGCAGTCCTGGCTGCTCTTGCTCACCTTGCCTTGTTTCCCTCGATGCCTTTCTGCCTGGCCATTCTACTGGCCATTCAAGCCTCTCTCCTGCCCAGTCCATGCTCTGGGCTTCAGCTCCCAGATCTGTGTTTCCAGAAGAGCAAGAAAATTGAAAGTGAAACAATGCAGATGCAGGCAGAGTAAGGGTGTCCCTGGAGCTCACTGCTCCTAGCTGTGTCCTGTGTGTCCAGCCATCTGTCTGAGTGGAGGAGCCAGCTGCGGGGGAAGGGGGCTTCTGGAGGTTCTTGGGCTGGCTGCTGAATGAGGTTAGCATCTGCAGGTACTGTTTATGTGCAGAGAAACCCAGTAGATTTCTCTCAGGCTTAAAAGCTCCTGAGCATAGAGATGCAAACCAGGAGTACCTCTCCAACCCTGTGAGCTCGGGCTGCGTCCCAGGCTGTGCTGACGGCCCTCCCTGCTTTGTTCCAGACACTGCAGAATGGACGCCGTTTCTGAAGCCAATGGCAACTTTGCCTTCCGCCTCTTCAAGGAACTCTGTCAAGACAACCCGGACAACAACGTGTTCATCTCTCCCATGAGCATCTCCTCTGCTCTGGCCATGGTCCTCCTGGGTGCAAAGGGCAACACCGCAGCCCAGATGGCGCAGGTAAGCCACCCTGCAGCCCACGGTGGGGCTGGACCACAGCGGCTGCTGCTCCTGCCGCGTGACACAGCACAGGGTGAGTGTCCACACCAACCCCAAGGGGGGCTGTCCACCAGGGAGGGAGGTACCCGGGGGCAGGAAAGAAGGAGCCTCCTCCACTGAGATGGTTTTGGTGAAGGATGGGGTGAAATAAGGAAAAGTGTTTCTCCAATTGTTGACCCTGAAAAGACTGTTGGATTTTTATGCTGCGTCTCATTTTTATTTAGAAAGTGACACTAGAACTTTCTAGAAGCTAAGCTGCTAGCTTCTCTCTCCTTGTAGGGGCAAAGCCTTTGCAGTCATAGCTGCTCACCATTGGGAGGTGAACACCTGCTTCCCAGCCTGTGTCCTCGCTCAGTACGGAGCTGGAGGGACAGAAACCCATGAAGGACCTTCCAGGGTTGGGCTCGAGGCCTCTGACAAAGACCAAGGCACTTGTTCCTTGTGTGCTCCAGATGTTCTGGGAGCATCTGGAGACGGCTCCAGGGCCAGTCCTAGTGCCCAGGACTCCCAGTGTGTGCAGAGCCCAAGGAGACACTGCCAGCGCCATCCTGTCCACGCACTCTCCTTGGGGCAGTGTGGCTCCTGCATTGAGCAGGACTTTCTCTCCCCCGGGTGGATGGCTCCCAGTAGGCTTGCTCATTCTAACCCTGCCCCCTCCTGTGTGTGAGAGAGGAGGTTGAAGACTTTCTGTGGCCCAATGCTGCTTTTTCTCTGTGTGTGAGAAACACTCCTCTCCTGAGGATTTCTATGCTCAGTCTTGGGAACTGCATCCCTCGCCCAACACCCTTTTTGCTTTTGAAGATGCCCCTGATGGCTGCATTTCTGCCCAGTTTTGGTACTCCCACCTCTGTCTTCATGGGTGTGCGTTAGAGGCGAGCTTTGCTCCTGGAGGGGGGCAGTGTCTAGGAGCCCTTTGCTGGACCTCTCTGCCCTTGTCTTCTTTGCTGTTCCCGTCCCTTCCCCTAAATCCGGACAAAACAAAACAGAAGCCAAGGAACTCTGTGCTGGTGGCAGGGCCAGTTCTTTCTCTGCCTCGGTTTCCACTGTCTCTGCCTGGGCTGGCCACTCCTCTCCTATGCCCAGCGGTGTCAGTTCTCCAGGATGCACCAAGTGGTCATTTACAACAGAAACAGCCTCCTCTCAGGGTAGTAGTTTTTAGGAGATATGTTTTATTTTTATTTGAAAGTTACAGAGGGAAGGAGACACAGAGAGAGAGAGAGAGAGAGATCTTGCATCCACTGGTTCACCATCCAAATGATCGCAGTAGCTAGAGCTGAGCAGATGCAAAGCTAGGAGTCTTTGCTTTGGTGCAAGGATCCTGTGATCTTGGAGCATCCTCTGCTGTTTCCCAGCTGAATCAGAAGTGGAGCCGCTGGGACATGAACCAGTGCCCCTAAGGCATGCTGTTGCCATGGGCAGAGGCTTGCCTACTGAGCCATGTCGCTGGCCTTAAGGAATGATCCTTTGGAACACAGCAGACCCAGGAGCACTGAGGTCACCTGGAAGGGTTTCTCTCTGCAGGCACTTTCTTTGAGCACAGGGGAAGACGCGCACCAGGGCTTCCAGTCACTTCTCACCCATGTCAACAGGCCGGATGCGCAGTACCTGCTTAGAACTGCCAACAGGCTCTTCGGAGAAAAGACCTGTGAATTCCTCTCTGTAAGTTGAATCAGAACCCTCAGTCGTATTCAAAACACCTGGTGACCTAGAGACTGGGATAAAGTCCTTAGAGAACCTGGGAAACTGACAGTGACATTTTAAAATAAAGACTAGGATTGTACAGCTGCACCTTGCCTTGTTTACAATCGGCCCTTTCTGAAGCTCCTGTATTGATCCCTGCTCATTCCAGGCGCAGGCCGTGTCTAGTTACAAACTGGATGTTTTCACAGCTGGTGGACTGAGATGGGATCACCATGGAAAGATGCGTTTTCCCGTTTTAACTCAAGGGTGAATGCAAACTCCGAATTCGGGGGAGCTTGCTGGCACCTCCTGTAGCCAGGCAGCCTCACTGAAGGCTTTCCTCTCTGCAGTCGTTCAAGGACGCCTGTGTTCAGTTCTACCACGCGGAGCTGGAGCAGCTTTCCTTTGCCCAGGCTGCAGAGAAGTCCAGGAAACACATCAACGCGTGGGTCTCCAAGAAGACAGAAGGTCAGAGGACGCGTTCCTGTGCTCTGCTCCCCTCCCTGCCTCCACCCTCTCCTCCTGTGCCCACCAACCCACCCACCTCCTCCTCCCTCTCCTCCTGTGCCCGCCATCCCATCCCCACAAATCTCCTCCCTCTCCTCCTGTGCCCACCAACCCACCCACCCATCTCCTCCCTCTCCTCCTGTGCCCGCCAACCCACCCACAAATCTCCTCCCTCTCCTCCTATGCCCAGCAACCCACCCACCCATCTCCTCCCTCTCCTCCTGTGCCCATCATCCCACCCACCCATCTCCTCCCTCTCCTCCTGTGCCCGCCAACCCACCCCACCCATCTCCTCCCTCTCCTCCTGTGCCCATCATCCCACCCCCACCCATCTCCTCCCTCTTCTCCTGTGCCTGCCAACCCACCCCACCCATCTCCTCCCTCTCCTCCTGTGCCCGCCAACCCACCCCACCCATCTCCTCCCTCTCCTCCTGTGCCCATCATCCCACCCACCCATCTCCTCTGATTTCAGTGCTGTTTCCCATTGACACAGAGATCATGACTGACTCCACCTTGCCTTATGATTGGGACCTTAGTGGACCCATAAAGTTTCCTGGCACACACTCAGGTGTTCGACAATAGAACCTTGCTTTGCATTTCCAAGGACTAAAGTGGCTACACAAACATCAAACCCTCCTTCGGGTGGGTTTCTAACTTAACAATGTGGAGTACAGCCTACTGTTCCTGGCCTGTGAGGTGCACCTGTCAGGTGATGCCACTGTGTCTATGAGGGGGAGACTGCTGGGCACCTGCCTGCTGGGCCATGCCCTTTGGCTTCCTCTTCTAGATTCCCTGGGGTCTCCACCACCGGGGTCTTCACACAGGGCAGTCACTTCTGCTTCTGTTTACCTTCCCTTTGCACCCTGTGACTAGACTTGGCAAGCCTAGACTTGACTGGTCCAGTCCAGACCCTGTCTCAGGCCCAATATACTCCAAAGATGGAAGGAGCTCCATCTGGACTTGAACCTTCTTCCTGTGTCTCAAAGAGCAGCCTGTCCTAACATGCCCTAGGGCTCATGGTGGCTTGAAGTCTGAGCCATTCAGATGCCTCTGTACTAAAGGAGCATGGGCGGTCTCCTTTCTGCTTGAACTGCCTGGCCCACTTAAGCCCCCTGGAGGCAGTGAATTAGCAAGGATGTTGTTTGTTATGGAAAAGGTTCCTCTTGAGCCTGGGGAGGAAGGGACTTTAAGTTGTTTCACTGTTTTCTTTAGGAGTGCCTGGGGCATTGTTTAGGGTTCCAGGGGTTGCCTCCATCTCCCCCCCCTCCTGTTCCTGCTGCCAGGTTTTGCTCCTTGCAGCTTTCACCCCAGCTACTCTGGCGCTTCCACAAGCAGGTGTAGAATTTAGAACTGTGTGTTTCAGCAAGGCATGTGATCAGGCGCTCTGTAACCACATGGAGCAATTGTGGCCCTTTTGTCTAGAGTCTGATTCCTGACTGTCTTGCTGTCAGTCCAGCTGGAGGTCGTAGAAGTCCTCCACCATCCTCAGCATGGTGAAAGTTCATGAAGTGTCTACCGTAATGAGTATCACTCACATGTGGTTTTCAGTTCTGCATGGAACAATCCAATTTCTTCTCTTGGAAGGCAAACGCTCTGGGAATTTTATTAATTAATTTATGTTCATTTTATTTGAGAGATAGGAGACAGAGAGCTTTTCATTCACTGGTTTACTTGCCGAATTCACTCAACAGCAAGTCCAAAATTGGGAGTCTATAGCTGGATCCAGGACTCTCACAAGGGCTGCAAGGTCCCAAGCACTTGCCTCCCGCATATTCCCACCTAGGGCTGGGGAGCAGAGCTGAGATTCAAGCCACACACCATCGGAGAAGCGTTGCTGCTAATGGCCATTTGAAGTACCAGCGAACACAGAATGTTTGGTTCTCGATTAATAGTTTAACCTGCGGCAATGTATTTTATTCGTCACACACTTATGCAAAGGAGTTGAATGTAGTTTTTCTTTTCTCGACAGGTAAAATTAATGAGCTGTTGCCAGCCGGTGCCATTGGTGTTGAAACCAAGCTGGTTCTTGTCAATGCTATTTACTTCAAAGGACGGTGGGACAGTTTGTTTTACAAAACTTGCACAAAGGAAATGCCTTTCAAGATTAACCAGGTAGGCAGAAACCTTCGAAAAATAAAATAGAGATCAGGCTATGATGAAATTGAATAAAAAGTTTCTTTCTTTCTTTCTTTCTTTTTTTTTTTTACGAAACATTGATGACTGGGTTAGAAATAGTTTGAAATGTAGAGTATTTTTAATGAGTTTATAGAGTCCATAAAAAAAGTTTAGGAAACAGCAATGTTTTCTGCCTATATTTTTGCATATTTTGTTACATCTCTGCTGTTGCTGGAGTTTCTCACAGAATCGTTAAACGCACCTAATACTGGAAACTAAAGATTTTCCTTTAAAATTGCTTCTTGAGACCATCAGAATTATAATAACTGAACTGAAATGCACGAAGACCTGTGTGGTTCTGTACAGATGGTCCTCCACATGCAATAGCCTGACTTCATTATTTTTTGGTGTCAGGATGGGTTAGAGGACTGTCACACCTTTGACAACCAACTTCTGTTGCAAGACAACTTCTGGAAGGGTCTTCCAGTCACACTCTTCTGAAACTAAGTTCATCCTCCTTTGTTAAATGTCTTCTGACTTGATTGAAATATTCTATACCAAATTTCATTTTATTACATTGTTTTCTTAAACTGGCTGAACTTACTTTAAATGAGGAAAATGTGACTTCCTTTGAAAAATGCAAAGTGTCACATTTAAGAAGACCCTATGTATGCATTTGTTTGAAAAAACAGAGAGAGGACCCATCTGCTGACTCACTCCCTTTTGACACAGCTCCCCAGGAGCTGAAGCAGGCTAAAGCTGGGCGGCAGGATCTCAACAACCCAGTCACTTGAGCTCTCACGTGTGTCCCCCGGGTGTGCACGAGCAGGAAGCTGGAGTTGGGAGCTAGGCCAGGACTTGGGCACAGGTGCTGGAATGTGGATGTGGTATGTTGCAGTCAGCTGAATGCCGGCCCCCAGAGCAGCACATTTTATGTTGGTGAATCAAGCTTCTTATGGCTCAGCCTAGTGCTGTATCTGCTCTCATAGGATGACCTATAACGAGAGAAGGAGCCAGATGACATCCTGTTAAGTTCTAACTGGAGGACACTGCCAAATGTTCATGGAAAATGAAAGTCAAAGCGGAGTTTATTCTAGCACAAACATTTGAGACATTTTTTCATAACACACATCTTTCATGAACTTCTTGGAAGACTCCTCACATACACAAATTTAAAAAAGAATCTGTGACCACATAAACATTTTCATTTGATTTCCCTTAACCCTTTTGAGGTTCCCTTGCATTGTTTCTATCATGGCACCGAAAAATTCCTGACATCGGTTGCAGTTGGTTGGGAAATTTTCCTTGCCTCTTTCAGCAATCAGTTTTAAAATTCCAGGCTTAAAAATCTCTTCGTTTCCACCAGAAGGAGCAAAGGCCAGTGCAGATGATGTATCAGGATTCCACGTTGAAAACCTCCTACATCAAGGAGGTGCAGGCGCAGGTGCTGGAGCTGCCCTACGAGGGGGAGGAGTTGAGCATGATTGTTCTACTTCCGGATAACGGTGTGGATCTCAGTGTGGTAAGATGGGAGGCCTTGAGCTGCTTCCTGTTCTCCATTTCTGCTGGAAAAATCCAGGGTGCCCTCCATGTCATCCTGTGATCTTTCTAACAACTTCAGCATGCCTTTTCCACTTTGGAGCTGGTGGCCAAGTGCTTAGATCTGGGCTCTAACTTCTGTTCACATGGAGTTATTTCATGACTCTCTAGGTGTCCTTGCTGAGTGGCTCAGTACATCTTGGTCTGTTTTCTCACAGATAGAATGGGTCTGATGGTAGGGTCTACTTGACAGGGTTATTTAAGCAAATGAGGTGGGAGTAATTCAGGCGTAGCACAGTGACAAGGATCACACCACACCAGCTACTTAATACAGTAGCCGTTGCTATCGGCATTATGTTTTAAAATCCAATGGCTAAAAGTGGGGAATGAAACAGTGCTATGCTTTGTTCCAGCATTCAGGGAGAAGTGTGGCTGTCAGGGAAGTGTGAGGGTCAGTGCTCAAGGTGAAGAGAGACAGCCCCATCTGGCACATCGCTGCCACGCTTGCTTCACACCAGCCTTGGTGTCTAGTCTTACCTGAATGGCTGGCACTGGGATGCCCATAACTCCAGGGGTTTGTCCACCTCCCTCTGACTCCAGAAGCCATGCCTAACCCCAACCAGGGGAAGATTTCTCTCCTGGGATGGCTCATCCTGACAGCCCTTTCTTCCCTAAAGTTTTTTTTTTTTTCCTGACCAGCAGTGGTTTGTTATCTTCAAAACCAAGCATTATTAAAAACAGAACAATACTGGGGCAGGTACTGACAGATGTCAGAGTGAAAAGTGTCTCAGAAAAGTGGGTAAAAAGAGGACAGCCTCCACCGCTGGCTTGCACCGCGTGTGTCTCTCCCTCGCCTGTTAAGGAAGCCATGAATGGAATAATAGCACGAGAGATGTAGGACAAGAGGTGGGGCTCATGAGCTTCTCGGCAGATGAGGCGGGGCGAGGGCGGTGGGGAGCAAACCCAATGGGTATAAAAGACACAGTGCATCAGGAGGAAGAAGGGGACTGACTGGGCAAGCATGCGCTTGTAGACAGTCACTGCACTCTGAACCTGCAAGTCAAATTTGGATCTTTCAGGTGGAGAAGAATCTCACTTTTGAGAAGTTCACAGCTTGGACAAAGCCGGAGTGCATGAGGAGTACTGAAGTGGAAGTGTTGCTTCCGAAGTTTAAACTGCAGGAGGAGTACCACATGGAGTCGGTGCTTCAGCAGTTGGGAATGGCAGATGTCTTCCAGCAGGGCAAGGCCGACCTGTCAGCCATGTCAGCGGAGACAGACGTGTGCTTGTCTAAGTTTGTGCACAAGAGTTTCATCGAGCTGAGTGAAGAAGGCACAGAGGCTGCTGCGGCAAGTTCTGCCGTCCTGGCTCTCGAATGCATGGAATATGGGGGACTCGAGTTTCGTGCTGACCACCCCTTCCTTTTTTTCATCAGGCACAACAGAACCAACAGCCTTCTGTTCTGTGGCCGGTTCTCATCTCCATAAGGGGTGCACGTCCCGTGCCTGAGAGAATACGCCTCTCTGTGTGTCTCTCTACATTCTCCTTTACGCTGCATGCCAGCGGGCCAGCCAAGTGCAGACATGGGCAGATTCCACCTAAACAATCTCATGGTGCTGCATACTCAGCACTTCCCATGTTGGACACTCACTTAACTCCAATTAATCAACCACGTCATATGGATTGCCTATATTTAGGACATGGACCAAATTCCAAAGAACAGCATGTAAAGTTTTCCCAGGTGGCTCTAAGCGTGTTTCTCACTCATTGCACATACAATTCATTCTCATCAAGTTGTGCTTTCTTGGGACTTCACGCTTACTGTAACCTCTCTCAGTAGCAATAAATGCTGTTAGATATCATTGTTACTATTTTATAGTTTTCCTGATACTTTTAATTTGTAAAAAAAAAATACACTTCTTTGACACACATTTTAATTTTGTTTTACTTTCACGATCACCCAGTAGGGGTAAACATTGCACTAACTGCTGTTGAAGTCCCGTTGATCTCTTTTTGCCTTTGTCGTTCATATTTTAATATCATATCATGGCTGACAACATATTGCCAAACCCAATGTTATGAATAAGAAAAAAAAAAAAGACTTTGTCATCTTTTGAAGACCATACTCAACTTACGTAGTATTTATGAACACCAGATTGGACTAACTGATGTGCTTAAATTTATCGTTTGATTGATGTCATTGTACCCCTCCACCTCCAATCCAGATGGTAAAAAGTTCATTCAGCATGTCAAGGTCAGGGAGAATGTTCTCATTTTGTCCACATAACCAGCTATACTTCAGGTTTTCACTGCACGTAGAGGGCACCGCTGTCATGGCAATTGCTGTGTGACAATCCTTAAACTCAACTGCACTTTCTCATCAAGGATTTATATTTATCTGACGTGTTGATATCCTACTTCTGGTGCAATTATATGTAATGCAGTTATGCATGAGCTCTGTAACTTTTTGAATTATGACATTTAACCAAGTTGATTGTATTCTCCTGGTGATTTTTTTCTTAGTGAGGTAACACTCATGTAACATAGGATTAATTATTTTAAAGCAAACAGTTCAGTGTTCCCCTAAATTTTTGTAGTGTCAAAAGGAAACTCAGTACCCATTAAGAAATGGTTCCTTGGTTCTCCCCACTCCTGCCCCTGGGAACTACCAATCTGTTTTCTCTATAGATTACTCATAATGGAAATTTCACCTAAAATGTATTATATAATATTTGACCTTCTGTGCTTGGCTTTTTTCACTCAGTGTAGTAGTTTCGATGCTCACTTATGCACTAGTATGTGTCAGTACTTTATTCCTCTTTGTGGCCAAATAATATTCCACGACATAGTAACAGCGCAGTTTATCCTTCATCCACCGATGGGGATTTGGGTTGTTTTCCTTTTCTGGCAGTGTGTGACCAGTGTTACTATGAATATTCATGCACACTTGGCTACCTGTTTTCCATTCTTCTGGATACGTACCCAGGTATGAAACTGCCAACTCATACTAGTTCTATGTAACTTTCTGAGGGTTAGGCAGGGTATTTTCTGCAGTGATCAAACCATGGAACGTGTCCACCAGCAGCAAATGTGCATTCCAGTTGCTCCATACCCTTCCAATTTTTGTATTCGCTTCCCATATGGCTGCAATGGCTGGGGCTGGGTCAAGCTAAAGCCAGGAACCAGGAGCTTCTTCTGAATCTCCCATGTGCGTGCTGGGGTATAAGCAGTTGGGCCATCCTCCACTGCTTTCCCAGGCGCGTTAACAGAGAGCTGGATCAGAACTGGAGCAGCAGGGACTTGAACCTGCATTATATGGGACTGCAGCACTACGTGTGACATCTTAACCCACTATGCCACAGCGTCAGTCCCCTCACGGTGTTTTTGATCTGCTTGTCTCAATGAAAAGAAACTAAGATCTTTACACACGCTGATTGGCCATTCCCATATTGTAGGACAAATGTCTATCAAACTCTTTGCCCAATATTTAAAATTGGGTCCTATTTGTTAAGGTTTCTTTAAGTATTGTGAATAATGGATCCCTATAAGAGATACCATTGGTAAAATTCTCTCCTGTTGTCTTTTCACCTTATTGATAATACTCTTGGTTTCATAAAAGCTTTGTGAATTTCAGCAAAGTGTAGTTTATCTCTTTTTGTCTTTGTTGCTCATACTTTTAATATTATGGCTAACAACATATTGCCAACATATTTTCTTCTCAGGTTTTTATGGATTGGCTGTCATTTTGCTTTTTGATCCATTAGTTTTTGTAAATAATGTGAGGTGGGATCCAATTGAACTCTTTTGCATGTGGTTATCTGCATGTACTAGCACCTGTAACTGTTTTGGATAGTGAAAGAAAGAAAGAAAGAAAGAAAGAAAGAAAGAAAGAAAGAAAGAAAGAAAGAAAGAAAGAAAGAAAGAAAGAAAGAAAGAAAGAAAGAAAGAAAGAAAGAAAGAAAGAAAGAAAGAAAGAAAGAAAGAAAGAAAGAAAGAAAGAAAGAAAGAAAGAAAGAAAGAAAGAAAGAAAGAAAGAAAGAAAGAAAGAAAGAAAGAAAGAAAGAAAGAAAGAAAGAAAAGTATGGAGCCAGCATGGTGTAATTAACTAAACCTCCGTCTGTGGTTGCGGCATCCCATCTTGACACCGGTTCGAGTCCTAGGTGCACCACTTCCGATCCAGCTCCCTTCTAATTACCTGGGAAAGCAACGGAGGATGGTCCAAGATTCTGGGCCCCTTCAGCCATGTGGGAGACTTGGAAAAAACTCAACAATGGATATATCAGCAATGACTCAACACACTAGGATATACAAAGAACTCCTAAAACCAAACAGAATAAGGTAGCAAACTGGCAGTCAGGGAAGTAGAGTTAAAATGCCATGACATAGTGTCCCACACCAGCGGCTAGGTGTCTGACAGGTCAAGAAGAGGAACACTACTCAGTATCAACAGGAGACTGAGGGCACAGATCAGGAGAATGTGGCGTGCCCTTGGGAGCACGGCGTGGGAGTTAGAAAGAACAAACTCCCTGTGGGAGGATGTGGCCGAGTCAGACAGCCAACGGACAGAGAGGGACCAGTACTGCGGTCCACACCTTGATGTGAGTTATAACCCCCGACAGCACGGCGCACTAAACAAGATTGTCCACCTGCCGCGCTTCTTTTACTGTTGAGAACTTTTTCAGGATTGGATTTTCTCTTATGGATGGTGCTTTTTCTGTTAGGGTGTCAGTTCTCCTAATTTCAGCATTGCTCTAGTAAAGGCAGGAGCCCTCTCATAGGTCTTATGTAGCTGCCTTCTCAATTTTATTATTGGTTCACTGATAAACGGGAGTCTATCCGAGTCTTACTCCCTGGAATCCCGTCTAGATTCCTTGTGATTTCCGGCAGGACTTGCAGTCCCAGGATTGATTTTCCCCAGCGTTTTGCCAGCAGAGCCTCGCAGGACAAGGGCAGCCCAGGTGCCCAGATCCTGAAGCGAGTGTGGCTGTGGCCAGGCAGCAGAGATACCCAAGGTGGGCTTGTAGTGGGAGCAAGACCAAAGTACTATTCCATCCCCCTAATGCTGCGCTGAGCTACAAGGGGGCCGCTTTTCTTTCATTTTTCTTCCCTTCTTCTTCTGAACGGTGCTGCGGAGAGATGGTTCTTTCAGTTTCTGTTTTGCCTGAAACACCGACAGCGTGCATGCATGCTTGAGAGAAAACAATCCGACAGCGCTTAAGCAGCCCGCAAGGGCGGCTTGCTGGTAGGAAAACCCAAGGGCACGTCCAGAGGGGCCGTTCGAGGAACTGTCCACGCAGCGCGAGTCAGCACACCGAGGCCACGTCAAGGTCAGCGGCGAGTCCAGTCAGGTCGCCCCAGGGCCCTGGCGGCCCAGGGTCCCGGGAGTGTCACCCCCTCACCCGCCTCAGCCACTGGGGGCTGGGGTCGGAGGGACCGCTTCCTTCACCAGGAGCACCAAGGCGGCAGCCGCGCCCACCCTGACCCCGTCCTCGGTAGCGGCTCTACGCGGTGCTGCGCCCGCCTCTGCCGGCCTCCAGCTCGGGGCAGGCGCAGGGCGCGCCGCTGCAGGTGCCACCGCCCCTTAATGCTGCAGGCCTGGGTTACCCCCCTGCCCCAGGGCGCGCCGCTGCAGGTGCCACCGCCCATTAGAGCTGCAGGCCTGGGTTACCTCCTTGTCCCAGGGCGTGCCGCTGCAGGTGCCACCACCCGTTAGAGCTGCAGGCCTGGGTTACTCCCCTGCCCCAGGGCGCGCCGCTGCAGGTGCCACCGCCCCTTAATGCTGCAGGCCTGGGTTACCTCCCTGCCCCGTGGGCCTTAGGAGAGCGCGCTTTGGCCCCAGGGGACGGTGGGGAAGGGCTAAAGGAATATAGGGATGTGACGTGTTCCCAGGATAGGAAAGGGTAGTGGGCTGGTGGCTGAAGTGGGCTGTGCAGGCAAGGGCAGCCCTCCTTATCCACTTTGGTAGGTGTCTACTGGCTCGGCTCCCAGAAGGTCCGGCAGTCCCCACAGAATGACCTCTGGTTAGGGGATTATTTGCTATGACAATGTGATCTAGCCTATCCCGTCTGTGGATCATGCAGTCTTTTCTTGCACAGCTTTATAGAGCTGCGCGTGAAGACTTCTGCCAGTACCGTTAGAATGGGAAGGATAAGAACACACGTGGTAGGACCTTACGGAGAGGTGGGCATTTTCCTCTTGGCTCACGTCCTACGTAAAGGCAGAGGCTTTGCCGTCTCGTGAGAAGGCACGAGGTGCGAAGGCAGTAGATGAGTTTCGAAGTCCAGGACGTGCTTCTGAGTCACTATGGAATCTTCTCCATGCCACCTAACTTCTCAGAGCCTTCGAAAAGAGAGAGAACATCAGCTTGACCCACTGTTTCACAGGGTAGTTGTAATCCAGTGAAACTGTCTTTCAGACGTAGAACTAGTGGTTACCTGATCTCTGGAGAATTTTCTAGTTTAAAAAGTCTGCAGTTACTGGGCCCAGTGTGATAGTTCAGTGGCTAAATCCTCGTCTTGCAAGTGCCAAGACCCCATATAGGTGCCAGTTATTGTCCCTGCTGCTCTACTTCCCATCCAGTTCCCTGTTTGTGGCTGGGAAAGCAGTGGAAGATGGCCCAAGACCTTGGGACACTGCAACCACATGGGAGACTTGGAGACAGTGTTGGGTTGCCTGGCTTCGGATTGGCTCAGCTCTGGCCATTGCGGCCACTTGGGGAGTGAAGCAGCGGACAGAAAGAAAATCTTCCTCACTGTCTCTCCTTCTCTGCCTTTCTAATAGAAATGAATATATTTTTTTCTTAAGTCTGCGGTTGCATAAGAGTTTATTGAGGAGAAGAAATCCAATGTTGACCCTGGAAG